TGTGGCAGGGGAGCTCGCTCAGGGGTTCTTCAGCCCAGGAGCTCTGTGAGGGCTGCACCTCCTCTTGGAGGCCTTGCTCACCTGGATGTGCTCAATGACCAGAGAATCTACTTCTAAACCCTGCAGTTCAACATTACTCTCTTCATTTTTAAGCTTGTGCAATAAAAATTCAGGGCTCTTTTTGGGCCACTGACCCTGTGTCCAGCCCCACTGTTTGGATTGGGCACACCTACCTACTCCAACATCGTAACCACGGAATAGCACACACTGCTTCTGTCAAGTGACCTCCTTCAGATACTTGATGGCTTTTGGGATATTCATACCCTTCTTGGTGGTGGGAGTAGTTTCACGAGCATTTTAAAAGTGAACATGAATCCCTGGCCGGGTGGCTCAGTTGGTGGGAGTGTCATCTCATACACCAAAAAGGTTGCGGGTTTGATTCCCAGTCAGAGCACATACCTAGGCTTCAGGTTTGATCCCGGTCGGGGCATGTATAATGGATCGATCTTTCTCTCTCTTTCTCTCTCTCTCTCTTCCTCTGACCCCCTCTCCCCCTCTCCCTTCCTCTCTAGCTAGAATCAATAAAAACGTTTATTTAGGTGAGGATTAAAAAAGACATGACCATGAAGATTTGAACCTTTTGATTTGCATGATTTAGTGGGATCTTCTGTGTCAACTGGCTGGCGAGCCATTTTCATAGATGCAGCTGATGGCTTTTGATAGCAGATTCCAGGCCTGACACTGCCTTCTTGCGCCCAGACAGGCGTGTACGGGGCTGGGTGCGGTGGCTGATGGACTCCCGATCTCCTCATCCTTGCATCAGCCCACTTGCTTGGTGCTGCCATCACCCTGCCTCCCTGCACTCTTTTTATATCTTCTGATTCTAAATCTGCCCTGAGAACATTTCTCACTCAAATGGGATTCACTTTGTGGACCTTCCTCTTCTATCTTTCTTTATCTCTTGTTTCCTATTCTTTCCCCAAAGCCATCTCCGTTGCTTCATTGTGTTAAACCAAGTCTACTAATGGCGGCTGTTAGGGTCGCCAAAGGAGGAACGCACAAGGCCAAAAGGGGTAAAGAATTATGAATTTATTAGGTCATCGGGATACCAGATGGGCTGAGCCCCAAAATGGTGCCAGCCCCGAAAGACTGGGAGTCAGAGGTTTTTAAAGGACTCTAGGCGGGCTTTTTCTGGGCTGAGAATTCTCTGTGCAGGTCTGGGTCCTGGGACACTCCGGAGGGGAGCGACAATGGTCTTAGCAAGTGGAATGTGGTCTAAGCACGTGGAATGTTCATTGTGAAGTGGCCCAAAGGTCAGTTCCCAGGGGAGGGGGTATCGATTCAAATCTTTGGTCAGACCTGACACTGGCATCCTTTCTCTCAGGTTGCTCTCTGCTGGCTGGGCCAGGGGCGCCCTAAGGAACTGTCACCTCTAAACTTTCATGAGTGTGTAAGTCTGAGCCCACACCTTGCTCCTCTCTGGGTCTCACTCCCTTATCTTCCTTGTAATGTAACTCCAACAGTTCACCCCAATTTCTGACCTTTGCCTGGGGGCTTCCTCACACTTGGCCCTGCTCTTTGATCATGAGCAGACTCCCAACTCTCCAGCCTGGCAGGTTCCTTGTCCCCACAAGGGCCTCCACTCCCCCTTGGGGGCCTTTAGCCTCCAGGTTGCACAACAGCCTGGCATCTGAGCTGAGAGCCCCTGAGAAGCTGGGGTAGGAGGAAGAGAGAAGGAAGGAAATGTTTGCTCCCACCACCCTCCTCACCCGGCAACTACTCCTTTAAATATTTGCCTAAGTCTCTAGCAGCAAGTGTCCTAGGAGGCAAGAAAGAGGGGCAGGGGGTCTGAGGGGAGGGGAGAGGACCCTCTCGACTGTGTGAGGCCTCAGCTGTGTGCAGGTGCCAGATGCAGGAGACAGCTGCCTGCAGTACCCACCCCTGCCCACCCCCAGGGCCCCTACTCCCATCCCCAGTTGTCCTGGCAACACTGGGACTGATGGGCCGACTCATACATGCTGGGCTGATGCCAGGTGGGCAGCGGGCCAGCGGGAGAGCCAAGGATAACTGCAAGCATCTTGGGGTCCCTGTGAGCATCTCTGGGGGCTGCCGAGCCCAGTTTGGGGGCTTGTTCTGAGCAGGTGCTGTGTGTAGGGCTTGCTGTTATCACTGGATCAGGGAACCAGGGCTCTTTCTTGGAGAGAAGCCTCTGCTCTTGGGGCCTCAGTCTCGCCTGCAGGCTGCCTTCAGGCTGTACTTCTCATAAGCTTTACAGATTTTTCCTCCTTTTTTCTCTCTTCTGGTTATTTGTTTTTGCCTGTTTGGAGGTTGGTAAGGAAAGATGCCCTCCAGTTTCATGAGGCAAGTTCGGATGCTGGCACCAACTTGATGGAGGTCTTGGGCCTTGGAGAAGGAAGGAGGGAGGGGCCTTTAGCTGGACGTAGCTGTTCCCTCGCCCCCACCCCAGCCCTCTGCTGTGGCCTTCTCCTCTCTTGGCCTTTCTTAGGCTGTTTCTCCCTCCTGGAAGGCTCACCCTCAATGCCTCTCCAACTCTCAATACCAAGGCCAAGCAAGAAGCAATGGCACCCACTCCGTGACCTCACCGCCCCAGCCCACGGTGCCTCCTTCCTCCTCCGAAACCTCCCAGCCTCCCTGCTGCACATTCACTTGCCACTTAGCACGCACTGTTGTTTTCACCAGCTGCGCACTGATGTTCTCATCAGCTGAGTGGGTGCCTTTATCTTCCCAGCCTGGCTGCCAGCCATGTGACCAGCCCTGAGATCCAGTGTTCCTGAAGCTTCCTTGTACCTGCTGCAGGGCAAGCAAGGGGCATGCATGCAGCCAACAGTCAGTGATAAGACTGTCGTCACCAAACATGAGGGGGTGCCTGGCAAGAGGTCAATAGTTCATTCCTTCGGTATGGGAAGGTCTCAGTGCCTCGCTGACCAGCTCTCAGACCCTGAATGAGACATTCTGTCTTTCTGGACTTCAGAGTGTTCGTCTGTGAGATGGGACTAGCGCGCCTGTCCTGTCCCCCTCTCCAAGCTGGTGTGAGAATACAATGACATCATGATGGGACAATCCAATCGTCATGATTATCTTTACCTCCCAGGGAACCTCTTCTCACCAGAGTAGGACCCAGCCTCTCCCTTTCTGTGTGTCTCTGGGTTAAAGCCGCTGAGCACGGTGGGAGTGGAGAGCCCCATGGTAGCCACTCTTTCTGTGTGTGTCTCCCTTTTCCCTCCTTCCAGCCGCTCAGCTGCAGGGGCAGAACAGGATTCACTTTGCTCTTTGTGTCCTGGGCAGAGCCGTGCCAGGGACAAGCAGGGGTGGTTGCCCAGCTGCCCCAGCCATCCTCCCCACCCCCATTGCTTGTCTTCCCATGAGCTGGCATGGGGAGGGCAGCATGGGCAGCTGGACAAGCAGTGGCAAGTGGGCATCAAAGGGCAGGGGCATCCCTGGCATGGACTTAAGCTCAGACCAGACAATGCCCTGCTGGCAGAGGCTGGGGAGGCATCTTAAACCCAGTGATTTGATGTGGAAAGAGCAGACTGGGAGCCCAGCCACCTGACTTCCAGGCTCCCCTTGTCCTATACCTGGGAGTTCTTGGGACAGTCACCCCCATCATCACCACATTACACACACCCCTGAGAGGTAACACCGTACAGAGCAGCAGTTCTCAAATTTTTTGATTTCAGCATCCTTTAACACTCTTCAAAAGGATTGAGGACCCCAAAGAGCATTTGGTGTATATGGGTTATATGTATGGATATTTACCATATTGATATTTACTGAGACATTTAAAATATTTATTAATGATTTAAATTAAAATAGCAATAATAAATCCATTATATGTTATAACATAAATAATATCAATTTTAAATGAAATTTACTATTTTATACAGCAATATATATGTATATTATATATATTATATGTATATATAAAGAGAGAGAGAGATAGGAAGAGAGAGAGAGAGAGAGAAGAGTGTCATTGTTTTACATTTTTACAAATTTCTTTCATTTCTGGCTTAGTAGAAGATACATCAGTATCTCTGGAAAACTCCAGGGCAGTTTGGGAGGGCATGAAAGTGAAAAGGGCAAATGATGTCTTAACATTAATAGGGAGATTGTTTTGACCTCAAACAGCCCCTGACAGGTTCTCAAGGGCCCCTGGGCCGCCTGGACCACGCCTGGAATGGAAGCGTGGCTGTGAACTCCGGAGCTGGGCAGAACGGGTTACAGCCCTGCCCGGTCCCCTTTCTTTTTCTGGTGCTACGCGCCTCGCTTCCTTTATCTGTAAAAGGGGATTCACAGCAACTTTCTCGAAAGGTGGAGAGAACTCAGTAAGTAGCGAACACAACACACGGTAGGTGTGATAGCAAGCTTGGCTGCTTTCCTCCTGGTTTGGGCCTCAGTTTCCTCATTTGCTAAACAAAGCTCTGGACTGGAAAACTTCCAAGAGTCTCCCAGCTCCAACAGGCTGTGGCTGTGTAGTGAGAAATGTTCCAGAATTCCACACATTCCCACGCCAGCCCCAGTGACGACATTCCCCTTCAGCTCACACAGACACAAAGGCACATTCTGCGCCGGAGCCGTGGAAACTCAACCCACGCCTGCCACCTATGACATGCCCGTGAACCTGCTAAGAGGATGTGCCACGGAGGGTCCAGGCGTGCACCGGTGACACAGAGGCACAGGGTTCCCTATGCGGAAACGCTCACAGGGGATCTGTGCACGTGCCTGCGGAGACAGGTGTGCGCACACGCACAGTCATGCCGTCCCAGGATGTACACGGACACCCTGCGCGCATGCCCTGGCGCACTGACGCTCTGGGTACCGGACACAAGCAGATGGCCCAGAGAGAGCCAGTAGGGTAGGCAGCACAAAGCAGCCAGGGCCGCAACCACTCCCTTCTCTGGCTACTCGCA